ATATATATATATATATATATAAGCAATCAATATTTTATTTAAGTCAATTTATAACTAATGAATATTAGTCAATGAGTAAATAAAAAATAATTAATGTTCGTATATAAAATTTGCTAATAGATAAAGTCTAATATATATGCTAAATATAGATGAAAATATTTTCCCGCCTAAAACTATGTCAATTATAGTAATAAAGATTGGTCCATTATAGATATAGATTGAATTGTAAATGTATTTTAAGTTAATAACTTTTGTATTTTTTATCAGTTTTACATATATAATATATCAAATACATATTTATCTTTATAACAATACTAACTTTTTAATAGTAATTAGATAAAATAAAATTATTTATCAATTAATAAATTAAAATTTCAAGTTGTTATATCATAAAAGATATAAAAATTACTATAACATAACACATGTCTATAATATAACACGTGTAGGTCACACAAGTAACAAGTGTTAATTTAAATTATATAATCGTATACTTTTTTTGTAAAAAAGTAAATAAAATTTAAAATAATTTTTCTCATTAATTTTAAAAATTTAGAAATAATTCTTTAACAAGTACCTGTGTAATACACGGGTGTTGTACTAGTTATTATTATTTATAAAAGTTCTAGAAATAGTCTTCTTTTTATTAATTTATGCAAGGAAATTTAAAACAAAATTTTGTGTATACATGTTTATACATGACATACACATGTTTTTTACAATTCAATTTCCTCATAACAATTAAGAAAAAAAATGATATAGTGATTTCCAAAAAATAAATCCCTTACATAATCCAGATATTTATTCCTAGAGTAATGCTACAAGTACATAACATTGTACATAGGGATGTACATAACACTCACATTGAGTGGACCCACCAAAAATAAAAAATTAAGTGGACCCCACTCTATGTAAGTGTTATGTACATCTCTATGTACATTTATTATGTACTTGTAGCATTTTCTTTATTCCTAAGGCTTTATAGTTTATTATTTTATTCCTTATAGGGTGTTGATAGCTTCTCTGGACAGAAACTAAAGGCGGCGTGTGGCTACTCAACAGTGGCAAAGCATGCATATGACTGGCTCTAGACTGGGTGCCAAAGTAGGGCCTCATGTCAGTCCAAGCCTCTCTAAACTCCTCGTTTAAGTTTCTCTATATCCTTTCTCTTTCAGCCATGTCAGGTGATTAGAAACTAGGTAGAGAGCTCCTAGTTCCTTCAAAAGCTCCCCGCAAACGGTGCCAAATAATGTGCCAGTGACTCGAGTCTAGGTTGAACTGGCTGGTTGAAAACTCTGATCCACTTTAACCACTGGTTATGACCTGCATAAAGGGGCTGAGAGGGTCTCCTAACGTTAATACTCCGACGCTTAAGTCAGTATCGGAGAAGAAGATGATGATAAACTCTGTAAGTAGAGAATTGCAGAGAGTGTTCAAAGATAATGTAGAGTATTTCAAGTGTACCTCAGCAACTTTTATTGGGGTTACCTGTTGTCCGAATTGTCCGTGATCAGTCTGTGTGACTGCCTGGGTTGCACCCAGTCAGGTTGTCTGGGGTTGATCTCCTCATTAGATTCCTTCTTATCTCCATGAGATTCCTTCTTATCCCGTGTAAATCTGTTTGTTTTGATAATCAAGTCATCGTGACTCTCGCCATAAGTTGTCAAGTCGAGCCAGTTCATTGAATCATCTTACTTTAGCTTGTCCGACGGGCCTGTAGGTCGTCCAAGTGCTTTTGGCCATTCCAAGGCCTCCAGGTCATTCGTGTACTCTTGGTCGTCCGGTCTTCTATAGATAGCCTTCGGATCGTCTTTGTAATAGTAGCCATCTAATTGCATGGTTGACCCATTCATACTTGGTGTTATTCCGGTTAGACCAGTTATGGTTATATAATGAGGTATTCATTTATTTATCATATGGATTTCTATAGATTTTGTAAGACTTACTGAAATATCAAATAAATAAAAACCATATATGAAATTGCATGCCAAACTTCACCTATTGAAAAGATCAAAGAAATAAAGGCCATGTATGAAATTGCATGCCAAATTTCACCTATTGAAGAGTTCCGAGGATTAGTCTTAAACTTAATTTAAAGTCTCAATTTTCAAAAAGTTTTAAAATGTCACTTCAATTCTAAGCGAATACACCCCATTGGACTTGATATTGAGTTTGAATTTTTGAGCGAATGTGAGTTAAGATGTAATGATAAAGAATAATGAGTTGACATTATTGGTAGTAAAAAATATGTGAGTGAATGAATAGTGAATTTTGTTTGGTATGTTGTTTTTTGGCTGTTCTTTATCTTTGGTCTTCAGTTGTTGTTTGGAGGAGGAGTTCATAGCTACACGGTTGTAATAGTGGTTAGGTTCTCTTTCTTCTAGTCTTAGTTGGTGTGTTGTTTGTGACTTTATGTAGACTAAGGACTCAGATTGTTTTCCTTAGCTAAGATATTGTGTTTCTAGGCCGCTTTCATGTGTGTCCTCCCAGGTTGCTTTTTTCTTGGTGTTAGTTGGGTTTATCTCATTGTATTCGAACTTTGTTTTCGCTTGAGTTGTTATAGTATTCTCTATCATTTCGAAAAAAAAGAATTGAATTTTAAATTGAAAATTTTCTAGCATGTTCTTCCTTGAATCCACTAAATTGAAAATCGGACTAAGCGCCCTGCCTAGACGCCACTTTGGCTAACTGATTTTTGTCTAGAAGACTATTTTAGGCGCTTGAGTAATTGAACATTGACTATGTGGGCTACGCGGTTCAAATTGTTACAAAACTAGTTACTTATACACCTAAGCGCCACCTAGGTGCCCGCATATTTTTTTTTTTTCGAAATATAATAAAATAGATTTTGATTTTAATATATGAAATATGCAATACTTATAAAAACTTAATATTAATAATTATTTCAAATTAATTTAATAATTATAGATATATAGAGCATGATTGGATACAAATTCAATCCAATTTTTTTTTCAGTTTTAACTCAACTACTTTTTTCAACTCAACTTTAACTCAACTCACTATCATCAATATTATCAATATAATTAAATAATATCAATCAATCATTCTTACACACAACATCAACCTTAATTAACATTCATTTACTCACATAAATTTAACTAACTGTCACATCACATCTTCTCTCTCTTACTTTTACATCAATTTAATTTTATTCATTTTATTTTAAATATTATTTTATTATATCCACTAACAACTAACCATACATACTTTTTCAAATTTAACCAACCCAAATCAAAAATCCAATCAAAACAAAAACAACTTTATATCCAAGCATGCTCATAATACTTTAAAATTTTTGTGCTTAACCATACTAATTATAAAATATAGTTTCTAAATACTCATAATATTAAGGGTTAATTGCTAAATAAACTATAACATTTTTGCGTTTGACAATTTTATCCCAAACTTTGGGTAATTCTAATATAATCTCGACCTCAATTTACTTATTGCAAGTCGAATTTAAAACCGATTGGACCTTCAAAAAACTAGTCGATTTGAAGGCGGTTCAAACAGATCGGAGCTCATATTTACCGGTTCACTCCAGATCTAGGAGGAGACTCATCACCAGTAGTTTATTGACGTGGAATTTTCGACTTTGTGCGTGGATATACATTAAGTACACGGAAATTGTCAACTTGCTACATGGATGACATAAAAACCCGTGTCAATGGAAGACTTGAACACAAAATCGATCCACAAATCCCTAAAATCAATCATTCCGCACCCAAATTACAATAAATAAATTGAGGTCGTGATTATATTACAATTAACTAAAAATTGGCATAAAATTGCCAAATACAAAGAGGTTAAGATTAATTTAGCAATTAATCCTAATATTAAATTCAAAATAAATAAATTTATTAACAGGTTTAGGAACCAGCACCTCTCCCAGCTTCTTTTAAGAACCTTCCGTAATCCCGATTCACATTTTATGTCAATTAATCGTATAATTTCTCGTAGGTTAACCCATTTCTTGTTTGGCCGAGAGTTTATGATGATTTAATCTGCTAGCATTACACGGGAACCTCTGATTTTTTGGGTCCGCCATGGGAGTTGTAATCGAATCCGAAGTTTGGAAACCAAACCAGGCAGTGTTCATATTCTTGTTCATCTCGTGCGTGTTATCAATCTTCTGCTTGCCCACAAAATTAGCCGCAAATGTCATTGATCATGCGCCGTTAGCGTCTTTTCTTCGTTTTCGGCACAAGTTTATGTTTCTCTACACTCTCGCATCAGGTCAGTTCAAATATTCTTCTTTACACACACTGACGCGCACATTACCTATCGCTGTTTCATACCAGTGGCTTTAATGTTTTGTGGCTGACCCTTTTGGTTTTTGGTGTGAAAAAAGTGATGGAGGGGCTATGGACTGTGTTTGGAGAGCACGAGCTGGCTTATTTTGGATTGAGTAAGGAGCAAATGCTCACGTTTCTATCCTTTGGATATGCCGTCTCGACGATTATTGGGAGTTTTCTTGGAGTGCTTTCTGATTTAGTGTGAGCAAAATACTTTTTTACTCATTGATTGTGGTTGCAATTTTGTTCTTATAAACAATCTAGTATGAATTTGTGTTTGTTCTGTGATTGTTTTGGTAATTAAACCTGTTGTTTTTCTTTTGTAACATTTTTAACGAAAATTCGTTCTTTATGGCCGGTTATGTTCGTCATAAGTAAATTGTCTTGATAAAAAGATCTAATTTTTTACAATGGTTTCATCTGGGCAGAGGTCATAAGAAGTTATGCTTGTTATTTTACTTGCTCCACATATGCTTGGCTGTTTGGAAGATAGTTGTTGGAAGTCCATACATTTGGTTAGCAAGTCTGTCTCTTTCGATGGCATCTTCAATATATTCCCTCAGTTTCGAGACATGGATGGTAGTTGAACACGAGAAGGTAGGTCTTGAGGTTCATGTAAAGTGTCTTGTTTGGCATTATTCAAAATTAACTATTATATTTATTGTAAAGGTATATTTTGCAGCTTGGGCAGAGGCAAGACTCGTTGAATGATATGTTTTGGTCAATGACCTTTTTTGGCTCTGCATCTTTCATTGGCAGCCAAATGCTTGCAAATTATTTGATTGATGATAATGTGAACCAAAACATAGCGTCTACATGGAAGGGGACTGTGATTCTGGCTGCTGCTGGTATTATATGTACCACTCGTGGTTCGAAAGAAGCTCCACATATAGCAACATTCAGGGATTATCTCGTGTTATTGCACAGACAAGCTAATAGCGGTATGCATATAAACTCACATTGATTTAAATCAGAAAATTCAAGTCCTGTTCTTTTGTCTTGTGCAGAATCAAAGGAGTTATAGGAATACATGTCACTGTGTGTAGTCTGCTTGGAAGTAATATAGAATTCGAATGCTCTCCATTTCTATAAAGTGCAAATATCTCCTAGCAAATAGTGAACAAATTGTTTTTCCATTTGTCAGATAAAAGAATATGGCTGTTGGCATGGATACAAGGTTGTGTACACTTTGCGGTTGCATCATTTTGGATTCTTTGGGCGCCAACTATAGTGGTACGATTTTGTCTTATGAAGTTTCTTGTTAGCTTATTGTAATGCTGTGAACTTACATCGGTATTTCTCACAATGAGGATTACAAGATATATATACAAGCCAAAGGAAGTGTAAAAAAGGAAAATAATAAAAAACCTAATCTACGGGATTGCCATATCATCAAATTCATATTTACAATAACCATCCCCCTCAAGCTGGAACATATATATCAAATTATGCCCGACTTATTACAAATATTTTTCATCCTTTCCTTACACCATTTACTGCTTTTGTAAATATGTTGATCCTCGGATTTGGCATACTGTAGTGATGAACCTTCTTCGACCTTATCACAACCAAAGGGCAATCTATCTCAATGTGTTTGGTTTGTTCACAAAATACAGGATTCGATGCAATGTGGTTTGCTGCTTGGTTGTCACACCAAAGTGTTGTTGGGAGAGCAAATTATAATCCAAGATCCTTTAGTAACTCCTTCATATAACTTAATAACTGATGTATCCATACAATTTCACATACTGAATCGGCTATATATTTTAACTCTGTCTCAACAACTAAACGAGAAACAATATTTTGCTTTTTGCTTCTCCACACCACTAGATTACCTCCCACAAGTATACTGTATCCAGATTCATCTTTGCAACTTGCAAGCTGCATAGTTAGCATTACACTATGTGTAGATTGCCCTGCCCTAACTTTTGGATCCTCTGTCGCCAATAAAACAATCCTCATCCGGGAGACCCCTTCAAATAGCACAAAATTTGTTCAAGAAGTGCCCAACAACTAACGGTCGGAGAAGACATAAATCAACTTGCTACACCAACTGAAAAGGATATGTCGGGGCATTTTAAAGTAAGATAATTCAGTTTCCCTACAAGTTTTTGGTAAAGTTCTGATCATGAAATGACTTACCATCATCCTTCCATAACTGCAAGTTTGGTGTCATCTTAGTGAAAATCCCTCTTATTATCTCCACTCCCACTCCCAGAAAGTATTTCAACTGTCCCCAGTCCTTCCCTTGAAAATTCTCATGGAGGAAGGATATTAGGTTTGAATTCCCCATAGGTTTAAATGGCGAATAGTGAGGTGATTCGCCATGGCGAGGCCTCGGCTACATGTCACCAAAATGTAGAAAAACAATATTGTAGATTGTGGAATTTTACATTTATGTTCAAATGATAAAATAACATCAAATATCTCCCAAAAAGGCAAGAACACAAATGGAACATAAGTCGATAGCACAAACACCACTTAAGAAAGTAAAAATAATACATAAAGTTTGGCACACACATACTTAAATACTAGATATAAGTAACAAGCAACAAGTCCATAGCACAACCACCACTTAAGAAAGTAAAAATAAACAACAAGTCCATAGCACAAACACCAAGGAAAAATAATACATAAGCAGCAAATCTTGTAAGATGGCCACACTTTCATGTATAACTTATACTTTAGCATTTTCTGAAACAACATCATTATTGTTTATTTTCATTAGTTTTTTTTGCCAAACATGGCTTGTCATTGGTAAAGTATGTCTTTGTTGTGTAAGACGATATTAGACCATTTTTTTTAGTATTGTCTGTGTCGTGTAAGACGGTATTAGAGCATTTTCTTTTCCCCCCTTAAACATTGGTTCAAAGTTGAAGAACACTATATAATTATATGGAAATGTATCTCATTTATTCATTACCATCGTGTATGGTTGTGTTTCAACAAATTTCTTCTGTTTTTTTTTTTTTTTTTTTTTTTTTTTTTTTTCTCTTGAGAAACCTAGTTGTGGGCGTGTGGGAAATGCACTTTATGCACACAAGTGCTGCACGCTTTTATTATTATTTTTTAATAAAACCTTACAGCACCTTTAATATACCTTTAATATACCTGGAGGTTATCGAGGCGTGCCTTTTGCTCGCCTCTCGCTACGCGAAAAGGCGAGCCGAGGCGACCTGAAGCAAGCGCCTCGCGAACAGGGTCGCCTCAGGCAGTGTCGAGGCGATATGGACCTCGCCTCGGTCGCCTCGCATGGCGTCGCCATTTTAAACTATGGAAATCCCATATTATCATTCCCAGTAACAATATCATAACCATACGCCACTAATAAAATGATCCCAAGACTCGCTCGCATGTAGAATACCAAGTGATTGGATATACATCTCAACAACCCATATTTCAAAACAGTTTGGCTAAATTTGTCGAACCAAGATCTGAACTTTGCTTCAACCCATATAGAGACTTATGAAGACCACATACTCCCCCTGGGCAACAAAACCATGTGGTTACTCCGTATAAACCTCTTCCTGAAGGAAGCCATGGAGAAACACATTCTTAATGTCAATTTAGTGTGAGGCCAGTCAAAAGAGGCAGCGAGGCAGCAAGGAGATAAGCAACCGGACAGAAGTAAGTTTGGTCACGAGAGAGAGTAGTCGATGCCATAAGTCTTAGCATAGCCCTTAGCGACAAGCCGAGCTTTAAGACGAGCCAACGAGCCATCAGGATTAACTTTAACTGTGATGCTAAATTGATATTTCTCACAATGAGGATTACAAGATATATATACAAGCCAAAGGAAGTGTAAGAAAGAAAAATAATCAAAAAACCTAATTTACGGGATTACCTATCGTCTAATTGATACAATGTAATCTATACCGTATTTAGAATAACAGTTACTATAGAAATTTAAGCAAATTGCAATTGGTACTTCATGCACGTTGTGTAGATATATGATCTATTCACCCTGGAAATCTAATGAAATTTATTTGAATTTGTATTTTTGAAGAAGCATATACTACAATAATAAGATGCTATCATTGATTTGTTGTGAAAATTTTTAATTTGCTACATCTCTCATAAATTGCTCTTCATCAAGATATCGATTTTATTTCTTTAATATCCATCTGCCCAACACTCCGATCTAGCCCAAAGTAGTTTCCATTTCAAACTGTTGTTTTCTTGATTCTTCACAACTGAAAATGGTGTATAATGTGCTAGTGCAATAGTTTTCTTCACAAGTTTTTTTATGGACGACTCATGACAAGCAACATCACATGCAAAATCCAAGATTCTGTTAAAAGGAGATATCGAGTTAGGAAATGTGTGGGGTTGTCCGTACTTTGAAAAGTAGAGACCAAGAATTCACTTAATTTTTGCCCTGATCGATGGATTTTTGGTTCAACATCTAAATTACTATGGCATGCTATCGTTTTTCTTTAGTAAATGTGAGATATAATTCAACGGTCTGATAGAGCAATTATTAAGGCTCCGCCGCTATGGCCTTTTTAATATAGTTGATTATCACGATGTGTAGATCATATGATAAATTACGGATAAAAATGAGAGAGATTAATTTTCTTGTACGTCTTAGGTGAATTTACATAATTATCAGATTTGCCATGGTGCGTAACATCTGGTGGTATTGTTGATAATTTAAGCCGATAGTTGAACTACACATTAGTTGATTTTGAGATGCAACAACAGAAGCTTAATGTGCAGCGAACTTCTGTAAAAAAAAAAAAAAA